TCAAGAACTTGCTCTCAACATTTTTTTATACTTCGATCAAAACAATATTGAAAACTTGGATATAAACTCGGATTTCCCATATCGTGTAAAAATGCAAACATATTTTAAGTAATCTGGTATTTAATTTAAAAAAGAGAGTTATAGTACGATAAATTAGAATAGTGTGCTCTCCGGCAAAATTTTGATTATATAAATTATAAAAAATATTCCATCAAAAGACAAGCTATTTTTCAATTTGTCGTACTTTTAATTACAGTACGCACGGTAGAGATTGATGTTTTTTTTACAAAATATGTAACAAAATAAATAAATATCTTCGTCCAATGATGCAACTTCTCTTACGTTATCACTTCCGTTTCTTGTTTAAACCGAAGCGTCGAATATGAGTGTCCCGCTTGACTTATTATAGTTAAAGATGTCCGAGTGTGTCTTTTGTTTCTGATACATATATTTCAATTAATACGATTTTGTGTAAAGTGTAATAATGAAAATCCCCAATCATAAAAGTTCATCATTCAATTTGTGTTCATTAAAAACTTCTGAAATAAAATGCACGGGGTTGCATCAGAGTTTTGATGATACAAGTATCGTATTTAATTCAACCTCAATGTTAATTTTTTTAAATGTAATACGAAAAAAGTGAGGGATAATAATTGATTATCACTTTCGTGTATCCTTAAAGCGTGTTGCAAATGTGTAATGATAATTATAACGAATATTCTTTTCGTGTTGCAGCGAAAAAGAAATCACCGTCTCGAACTTCTGCGATAGGGGATCTCCGCGACGAGACTCTCGAACGAACGTTTTTCGTTTTTATTCGCGTTACCGGTTAACGCGTTTTATCGCGTAAAATCGGCGCGAAAGTGAGAGAGAAAAAAGCGGCGCACACGATCGTCAGCCTCCTTTGAAACGCACCTCCTACTGTCGGCGCGCCACTCGTCGCCGCATCTTCGGAAGCTCCGTCTGACGAGAGTGCTCTCTTCTTTTCGCGGCTCTCGCGGTGGATGGTGGCCGTTATGCTCCACGGCCGTCATGCCCGCGTCCGACCCGTGGTGCCCATTGTGGGATCCGTTGTGCCTACGCCCACCACTGGACATCGATTTCGGACCTCCCGCGTGGTGGTAGTACCCCTTCCCTACAGTAGATCCAAAACGTTTCGTGTTTTTCTTTCTCCTGCTTTTCCCCTTTTCTCCCCTCTTCGAGCGCGTGCGCGGATTTTCTTTTTTTTTTTTTATCGCATCGCAAACTCTTAATTCTAGCTATGCCGATTCTCTCTCCCGCGCCTCTCTAGAGAGAAAAGAGCGTATCCTTTCGCGGTCTTCCTTCGAGATCTTCTCTCTGCGCACGCGTCCTGCTCCAATCTTACACGGCTTCTCGTTTTTCGGCGTTCGCGTTAATCTACGCACCGAAAACGAAAGCATTATCGTGTTTCGAGGATTAGCCTGTCATTATCTCGAGTCGAGTGCACCTTCCTGCGATGCCTCGCATTCCCCGCCCTGCCCGATATGTTTCTCCCTCTTTAACTCGCGTGTCAGCTCTGTGTGTGCGTTTTGTGTGTGGCAATATACCCTAACGGAAACGAGATAAGGCAGCGGTGCAAGCTTGCCCGCGATAAATGTGCTATAGACGACGTCTGAGAAGCGTTTAAGTAGAACCGTACGTCTGAATCTGCCTACGATTGGCACACGATTGGCGAGAGACGCAAAAAAAGTACGACTATATGCGTAAATTTGTGCAGGGATCGTGTGGTTGTGTGTGTACGTGTGCGCGTACGTGCATAACGATAATTACAGTCTCCTCTTGGCGAGATGTCCATCTAAAGTTCTGCATTGAGACGCTTTCTATTAAATTTCTTAGGACAGCAAGATTATAATGGTAGACATAACAAACTTTTATCCGTTTACACAAAAAAATTGGGCGAGACACAAAACACATGAAAAATTATCGTATAAACGAAAGATACAAATTTGGCCTCCGTAAAATCGTATTCAAATATCAAATCGATACATTTGTAATATCAATTACATCATTAATATCTGGAGAAAACAGTCTTGATATTTCCAAAATAACATTATCTTTATTTTCCCCGGAAGTTAAACTCTCTTGAACTTTGAAGAAAGTCTAAACGCTTATCGTACGGATGCCAAAGGTAGCACTGTTTAAAAACTTAATACAGAAAAATAAAATAAAATAAGACACATGAAACACAATCCCAATTCCAATCTTAAAAACGTAATTTTGCTGCAGCGTCATCATTCCGATTAAGTGGAAAGTAAGTATCTACGGATTTATGCGGATATCCAGATAATGCGTATATGCGAGCGAATGGAAAATCTCGAGACGTGGAGATATTTGTGGGAATTGTATGTGTGTACGCGTATATATTCTTGAGTAAAGTGTAGATAAAAATATACCTGTGCACGATTCATAGCCGTCCAAAGTAGAACAAATAAAGTCTATTACAATTTTCTGCCGATCGGTCGCATCACGTGACGTGCTAGTCACGGGCTTCTCTCTCGTAGAAAAAAAAAACTTGCTATTTTTTTTCACTATGCGTATCCCCGCGTTTTTCTCATGGCAACGCTAACGTGAATGTGTCCCTGAGGGCGCGGAAAGATAATTTTCTTCGCAAAGTGCAAGACAGTATAAAAGAAACCTAAACACAATTAAGTATGGACGGTATGTTGCCAATGAAGTTTCATCCTGAAATTGGATTAGCGAGACAGAATTTTAAAAGAGTTATCAAACCCCGCGCGAAGAGCACGAAAAAAAAATGCGTAAAAAAAAGTAACATAAAACGTATACGCGCGTAATCGAGCCACGAGAGTTAGATAAACCAGAAAGAGAAACAGTTTTCGGTCCCTATGCTCGATACGCACGACCGGTCGGCAGATATACGTACACACACATGCACACGCATACGCACAGATATACATATTATATATATGTATATGTAAGTATACATACAATTAGATATATGTGTAGCGATTAATATATAGCGAAAGTTGATTTGCTTGGTATTTTTATGTAATAAAATTATTAAGTACCGCGGGGAATTGCCGATTCATTCTGTCTGCCGCCTTCTCCCGCGTACCCCTGGAAGTCATCCCTAGTGGCAGCGGCTTTTGCCCTAAAAGCCGATCTCCCTTTAACTACACATTGCAACATATTGTTTGACTTACTGCTAATCATCGAAATGATATGCCTGGCCGCCGCGGTTCATCTACAGAATGATCAGAATCAGAAATGAGCTGGTGTATTTTATATATGTATATAAAAACACCGATGCGATATATCGAAAATATGGAATTATCTGTGCAAGATTTCGTGCTCGGTGTGTTTAAAACACAAGACGCAGACGTAAGTAGAAAGACTGAATGATAGACACGAAGGTACAACGAGCGGTTGAACATCTGTGAATGGGAAAAAGATCGCACAAAATAAAAATGCGAAAGCATATTATTCACTCAATTCAACGATTCTGAATTTACCGCGAACGGTATTATTTTACAACCATGCTACGAGAACATCACGAGATGCGAATAATTCTTTGACCTCGGACGATGTGTTGTGCAAGTCGTTATTCGCAGATAATTCTCTCGCTGAAAGAAATGTATCATTAATTTTGTCATGATTAAGTACTAAAAATCGTTAAAGAGTATTTTTGGATCGAAGAACGAATAAAAGGGACGTTAGGGAGAAGAAGTCTCGTTGTATATGTATATTGTCAGTACGTAGGCGACGAGTGCGATAAAAAAAAAAGTAGAGATTCGCGGTTCGTAAAACTAACAAATTGGTAATACGATCGCCACGAGAGAGCATCCTTATATCATTCAACGACACCTACATATCCGTGTTCCACGCGGCAGTGCGCATTTGATATCCGTGTGTCAATGCGATCTCTCAGCATTACGACATAACGAGAGACGATAAAAGCGGGAGAGCTGCTCCATTGATGACCGAAAGCGCGTGCGTAACAATGAAACCCGTCTGGTTACGAAAATTTCACGCTCGGTGTCCCAGAAACAATGAATTTAACTTCCACACGCACGCTAACGTAAATCGTAACCGAGACCGCGAAGTAAGAGCACACCAATGAGGCAGAGTGAAAGGAGAGGACCTTTACGTCGCGTATCCGCGCCTCGTCGCAAAGTAACGACCTGCATAAAAGACGTCGTCCGCGCCGTTCTCGGTACGCGAACGCAAAATGAGGAGCCTCGGGGCGACTGTCGATGGGCGTTTAAGCGCGCGTTTAAAGTAGGCGGAATAGTCACGCATCCGCAGGTACCTGACGACGCGAGGAGCGTGGTGGCATTTTCCGCCCGACGAGATACAGGCACGGGTAATAAATAGAAGAAGTGCGCGCGCCAGGGCGCGGTAACAGTAGCAGATGTCGTTGCGGCGAACGGAAAGAGGGACCGCGAAGTCACGCGTCGGGGAAAAGTGCAGAGAATCTTAATTTAAAAGTTAGATGACACCGACTCACCGCGTATAAATCACCCCAAGATTTTACCACCCCATTCCTGGCGCCGCCTCACGCCCACTTTCGCACCGCACCGCCGTCGTAGTCATCGTCGGCAGCGGCGGCGGTAGCGGCGGCGATATCTCGTTTGCGTTCCTATTTCTCGTGAAAAAAATTTCGCTGAGCTGCGGAAGTTCGACCGCGCGAGGAGCACGGGTAAAAACCGCGCCGACGAAGACTCATTACCGAGATAACGAAATTGGGTAAACTCGAAATGCCGAGTACACCTACCTCCTCTCGCTATCTCGCCGGTGAGCCGTGATCGATAACGGCGAGAGAGCGAGACTTTTTAGATATTACGGCGTTTAAGCGTGCGATTACTGTCGCATCGAGTCGCGCTATCAGCAGGTGTCAGAATTATTTTGGGTCTGGGTTTGTGTGGTTTTTCGCGCGCCGCAGGTGCGCGACTGCTGAAAACGGACTAGAAATCTTCATTAGCGTTGATTCCGACGCTGAGAAACGCGAGAATATGAACGGTGGAGAAGAGATTACTTAGAGACTAGACGAGAAGTGGATTATCGCTGGCCAGATCGATCGTGCGGCAAACGTTTCTCCTGGCAATTAATTTGCTCTGCAAATATCTCTCCTTCTTTCACCCCCTCCCCTCTCTGTCCTCGCGAGGAGACACGTTGCGTCTCGCGCTTGAATCCGGATTCCCCGCAGGTCCCCGTTAAAAAAAACGGGCGATCGCCCGGGTAACATATGAGCACACACGTAACTTACCTCGCTTCTACAAACTAATTATCTATTCACTAATTGTATTGTGCATCTACGAATGGGAGCAACAACACCACCGTCGGGCTAGCCCGTCGCTTCCCTCGCGCATTTAAAGCGATTCTCACATGTGATTACTCGTCGTTATTCGGTCTTAATTTACTTGCGTTACAATTGGCTGCGCGCAATCATTTCTGTTCGTAAGACTTTTCAAAGAAACATATTCGATTAGGTATACACTTCATCTTATCCCGAATATTTGTTACGGCCAGACGCTTCATGGCCATAGTTTTACTCTGATTCCTTAGAATCAAAAACCGCAAAAAGGCAAATAATCGGTTAAATTAAAATTGAAATTAACCGACATGGATGTGCGAAACCGATCGTCAATCTCGCCATCGGGCAGGCGTGTGATCGATCATCCAATGCACGTTGTATCCTTTTTTCCCCTTCATCTTATAGTTCGTTCAAATGATATTCACAACAAAGGCGATTAATTAATAGACATCGAGACTGTCACGCGTTCCCGCAGAGTTTACCGCGCATCGTTTCGTCGAAAAAAATACAGGGGGAAAAAAAAGTCGAGACTATCGGTCCGCATTACCGCTATTATTGGCATTTTTATTGAAGGTAGGCAGACCGTGCGTCACAACAGCATGGCGCGATGCGTGTCTTTGATACGCGTAACTCGCAGTCGTCAGTTTCTGTGGAGTAGCGACCGCTTGATTCCGGCCTCCGTGTTTATCCCCAAGCTATCGCGCAGCGATCAAGAGGAAATATCACGTAGCGACATATAGTATACACAGACAGTCGGCCTACTGTGTCTCCACCGACAGAAATAAACGTGGAGAAGCGGATATCTCAGGAAGGGGGGGTGAGGAAGAAAAGGTGACGGGATCAAAGCTGTGCGGCAAAATCTAAGCGGAGTTTGCTTTAACTATTTGCATCGCCGGATATACGGTAGGCGCGTATATGCGTAATGCACTCCGCGCCCACATGTTTGCGCATTTACATGAATCCGTAACTACCTGTATAAAATAAATATCACTTTAGTTTCTCGCTAAAGTATCACTTTAGTTTGCGCGAGAAGGCAATTTCGTTTAATTTCCATAGCGAGCAACATTACGGGACATTCACTTCTTCCTTAATTCCTCAGGCATATTAACCGAACGCTTTTCCATAAATTAATTGAATTAAAAGGCACGTACGCTTAACGCGTATTCGACATGGTTTAAATGACACGCAACATACGCAGTACTGTTAGAGCGTGAAAGTAAGGAGCAGTTACGACCGACTCAATTTCACACAATTTCTCTTTTATTGTACCGGCTGTCTATTTTTTCTGCGATAGATTCAACAACGTACTTTAATTCCTGCGTAAAAACTAATCTAGATGTGCGCGTTGCGCCAGATTTATGAATGAGCAAAAACTCCATATAAATAAATAAAAAAAAGAGAAAGATTAATACGGCACCGAAACCTTGTTCGTCCGACCGTCAAATTGCAATGTCTTCGGATTAAATTTATACGAAATACCGTCTACCCTCCGTCTCTACCTTCCTCGAGAAGATTCGATTCTGTTGTGTCGCGTGAGTACGTGACGCAAAAAAAAAAGAAAACTACTGCGGTGCATAAAACGCTACTCCGAGCGCTAATATAATTACGGTTATCGCGAGTACAGTACTCTCTCGTTTGTCACGAGGGCGATCAATCATGGAAAATGGTCGGCGCACGTTGCGCGGACAAATTAGTCTGTGAACTCCCACCGGAACCACTGTGTAACGCGCCGCGAAGGAAGGAAGAAAAAAAATAATGTAACGCGCATCGGTGTTTCCGTCCATCGATTTAAAAAGCGGTATCGTACGCAGTTTTCTCATTGCTCAGAAGTGGGGAAAATGTCAAAGTTTGTCCAGCCTCCGTTCATAAGTAACGAACGGCGCGGAGGGGTAACGAGGAATGTGGATTCACGTGATCTTCATTGTGCTCCCGATGACATTTCGTAACCCCGTTTCGCTAAACTACGTTGGTTTGGTTTATTTTCTTTTTTTTTTATTTATTATTTTTATTTTTTTTAAATTAACCTTATTGCTCAAGAACTCAAAGTTATGGTCGAATTAACTTCAAAAGTGAAGCTGCGGAAATGTTTAATCTTATTATGCATCGGTATTGTACGTGCCTTCAAACGCAGGGATTTGTCTCTCGAAATCAAAGGAAGTAAGTGATAAATCGGTTCGCGCTAACGAAACGAAGGGTCAGAAGTGCACTCGTAAATTCAGGAGTGCTGGAAGGAGAAATGATCTCCAAAATAATCATTCGACGGGTTCGAGGAAAGCACTGAGCCTTTGAGCCAGCGGTCCTTTTTTCTGACCAAGTCCTGGCCGGTTAGAGGTCGAAAACTATTCAGAAACGAAGAAGGGGCAGATGTTTGAATTCGCCCACGTGCTGGCCGCGTGACGTCACGGCCAGCGTGTGGGCGTAGCGAGGTACCAAGAAGGAAGAAGAGAGACGGGGTTGGAAATAGGAAGACCGCGGCGAAGGGTAGAAGGGTGAGAGGGAGGGAGGGAGAGAGGAGGGAGGGAGGGAGGAGGGAGGAAGAGAGGAGGGAGAGGGAGGGAAAGAGAGAGAAAAAGAGAGAGAGAGAAAGAGAGAGAGAGAAAAGCAAGCAGAGCGCAAGAGAGAGTTGGAAGGATGGGTGAGCGAGGGGCGAGAGGATGCCAAGGATCAATGCAACGGCGAGACCGGGAGGACAGAACCTGAGAATTCCCGCGGGATACATCGGCGCGACGCGGGACGCGATACACGATCGCGGTGCACTGATCGAGGATTTAAAAAGGACGGATGTCCTCTTATCTTTAAGAGATGTCCCTCCTCCCAATCGAAGAAGACACGTATGATCAGATCCGGTCAATACTTCGCGGCAGGATCGCTGGGAGGACCAGAAGGGCATCGAGCGCGCTGGCCATTATAAAATCGATACGTGCGCATCAAGTTATATAACGTGACATTTCACGTGTGCGTTACCATGCACGATGCACTCGCGTGGAAATTATTAAACGCGACCGTATTATTCGTCGCGATCTTGATTGCCATTCGCGTTGTCCGTGAAATTCGCACGAGGGTAACAGGGTTGCGCGCGTCTGGGTTAAACCCGGGTCGACTGATTCTCCCCGAGAGAGAAATTTTACGACGCCGTCTCGCACAAGATTTGATTTACGCTCAGTCATCGATCGATGTGTTATCGTGATTACACATGCGATGACCCAAGATGCTCAGACACGAATTTCGCACTAGGGATTCTGTTGTGCGATCGACGCAGAAACTCGGCGTATCCGACCTTCATCATATGGAAAAAGTGATGCGCGGCGAAGGTAGGCAGAATACAGTTTATTTCTGTACTCTGCGAGAGAAAGAGGGAGAAAGAGAGAAAGAGAGAAAGAGAGAGAGAGAGAGAGAGAGAGAGAGAGAGAAAGAGAGAACTTCACCCTACAGGTGCGCACCTGGATGAGTCGGTTCACAGTTCGTCGATCTCGCGTTTAATCAACTGTGAATCGCATACATACATCGCACACACGGCTCCCTTCCTCCAATTTTTGGGAACAAAACGTTCTCCACGAAAACAAACGCGACGCCAAAATATTACTGGATATGCGCATGAAATTTACGAGCTACTTTGATGACCAATTAAAGTACAGCTGATCTATTCCTTTATTGAAGTGTCTCATAATTGAAACGCGATGAAATCTTGCGTTTTTATTATATTTTGAAAAAAATGTAAAATTTTTATATATAAAATTAACTCACAAAGCATATAGATCTTCTTAATTTTTTTAGCTAACAGCAATCATGAAATAATTTCATTAATAAGGTTTAAACAAAAACTGTCGGAACAAAGAATTACATATATGTAATTGGATCTTTCTTTTATCCGTGTCGTGTAAGTATTAAATTAATTTAATAGCATTAAGTCATATTTAATACAAAATGTTCCGATTGATATTATATTTTATAAATACATGTTATCTTACTATCAAACACGAGCATTGGATCGATCGATTACACTTTCCATAACCGCCTTATGTACAAATATCGTAAATACGCGTTCTTTGTAAACCAAATATCTATTGACACGGAAAGACTAATCTTTTCTCGTGCATTTCTTTTGACTTTCAAGGGCAAAGCCGACTTTTCCGATCACCTGATGTTTCCATTGTACATTTTAGAATAAATTCAGCAGCGATTTGACCATTTTTAATTTTACTAATAGTATATTTTGCAAAAAATACCATTAGTTACAATTATCGCAATATTTGTAAAGTTTTATTTTATCAATTAATTAAAAAACTAATACAACAAATGAATAAAAAAAGACTCGACTGAAAGTACTTTATACAAACGCGTACTACTGTTATACCGTTATAAACCGTTTCGTATATATCACATAATTTGGATTAATCTAGATTATACTTTATGATACAAATAAATTAGCTTTAATTTTATAAGTTAAGTAAATTTTTAAAAGTTTTTATTGTGAAGAGTAGAACTCTTCTTCAAAGAATTCGAATAAAATTTATATTGCGAGTAATATCGATCAAATGAAGTACCTCGTTAATTTATATCGAGTGGGTGTATAATTAGAGATAAATATTGGGATTGGAGGATTCGCTTACCCTTCTCCGATTCGTCCGGCTCGTCGCTGGCGCACTCCGGTGTGCTTCGCTCTTCCTCACTGCTACTGAAACTTCTTTGTTGCGGGACGCCCACTGTTGATGCAGGTTGAGTGGGACGTCCGCCCTGCGTCTGATGTAACGAATGCTGCTGAGAGGGATGCACTGCAGTACGAACGGAGCCAGTCTCCATCGGTGTCTGACCATAAGTCATTCCAAGATCTGTACCTTGATCCTGCGTCAAATAATCGATATGTTACAAAACTCAAATATAATTGTCGTTAATTAATCGTAAAACATGGTACAATTTAAGAAACAAAAAAAATTTGTTGAGATTTGTTATTCGATGAAGAATTAAGGTAATTAACTAGCATTTTTATTTATAAAAATTTAAATTTTTTTAATTTTTTCCAGATAAATGTATATATAAAAAAAATTATACAGTTTTATTTTATTAAATTATATACTTATTATTACTTTGTTAAAAACGAAATTTGCAAATTTTAGACGAAACGTGATATCATTCGAAGTTATTGTTCTCTTACTTGATAAGTCGACCGTTGCCTCTGATAGTTCTGCGGATGTTGTCTCATCAGACCGTCGAGCTCGCCTCGGTATAAATTGGGATCGTCGTCAGGATAGACTGCAGGATGCCTCGGAGTTTGTTGCACCGGGTAAGAACCAACCACGTGGGGGGTTGGTAAAGTTCTCGCGTGAGGCGAAACGGACATTTCCACCCCACTGTCGCTCGTGGACATCCGGCGACCCGAGATCTGCAACCGCAGGAACACAGACTCACTGAGTGCTCGGTGTTATACGTCGCGAGGGCGCGGGCTGATAATCCTTCGGTTATGTGACGGGAACGCCTCGATCTCTTTCCTTCCGTTCGTAAATAAATAAATCGCGGAGATATCAAATGTGCGAATTATTGCGAACTTATCACGGTGCGACGTTACATATTCATGAGTGTAGGAGCATCCCGAGCATTTACGTGCGCAAAAATATATCTGCCTTGTAAATAAAAGAGTGCGTTCCGACAAGAATATCGGGCGAGCGAGGAGAACGTTACCTGCTCTTGCTGGGAGTACTGTCTCCTGAGAGGACAGTTTCCGCTTCTCTGTAATAACGGCAAATTCTCTTTCTCAGCCGCGCTGTGCGCCCTCTCGAGTTTCGGTCTTTTATCCCGAGTTTGGTCCGCGAGTCCCTGACGACCACCCACCTGCAAGTCCTCCTGCATTTGCCGCAGCAACGCGCTGTCCACGGCGCCTGTCTTCGACATCCATTGTCCAGTCTTCGAGAGAAGTTCCTGCTTCTTCCGGCAAAGTATGCACACCCATATCACCTGCAACCAGAAAAGTAGCGTTCTCCTGTTGACCGCGACTAAAAATAGCGCGAGCATCTTCTATTTGTAACTCGACACTGGGAGGGGATATTTCGGGACGAGTGCTCTTAAAGGACTTACACGGTGTGTGCTTTATTAAAGATTGCCAAGGGAACGAATGGGTGCGCAAAAATTTTATCTCTCCAAAGCGCGAAAGTATCTTGAAACTTATCGATCCAGGTCACCGCGTGCGGCCAGTGACGAGGATATTAATAGGAAATTACCTATAGGAAGTCGGCCGGTTACCAAGCTAATTGGAATGTATAAAGCGGCGTGAGATTGATTATAGAAGCGAAAGACACGCCAACTGGAGTAGCCTAGACAACGTATCCTATTTTACGGCTTACTTGTCGTTCTGGGCGCGTTATTTTTACGATAAACACAATCCGGGAAACGGAATCAAAAACGCGCTTTAAATCAAATAAGTACGGCGTGTATTTAGAACAATCGTATCCGCTCTGCTCCGCAAGGTTTGAAATCTCGCTGGTTTTACAAAGAGAAATTGTAAATTCCTCTCCAAGTTTCCGTCGTCGGACCGGGCCATTGCCTTGGGCTATATTCTTATGCAAATCCACACGGAGATCTGAGTAATGTTAAATTAAATTGAACAGATGCGAACGTAGAGCTGAGAAGTGTAACAAAAGAAATGCTCGCAGCGCATACGTAGACGATTAAAAGATAGTTACGATTTTTCTACGACCTTTTTTTATAAATCTTTATTAGTAAGAAAAAAATTCCTCTTTTTGCAAACGTTTATCAATTTGTCTTAAATGTTAATTCGCATTTTAATATAATAAAATGATATATAAAATAAATGTAAATCAAAGCCGTTTCCAAACTTACAAAAACGTGTATTCATAATTTATAATATTAATAATTGGAGGGGTAAAAACTATAGTGGTAAATTTTTTAAAATATTGACTCGGCATAGATGCAATTTATATATTGTATAGATTGCATCTATGCACATCGAGTCAATATATTAGAATACTTACACCACTATGGCTTTTACCCCTCCAATTATAACTCTGTATTATTTTTTAACGATATTTCTATTTTTGCATTTTCAGCTTTGTGAATATATGTCAAATATATTATGTATCTAATATTATTTAAATAATCTGTTTTTAAAGAGTAATACGAGCAAATTATTAGGTAATAATAAATATCTGCTAAAAAAACGTCTACTATATTCTCTTGTGATTATTAGTAATATATGTGATATTAGTACATTCTATTGTGATTACAAAGAAACAATAGCATAACTTAAGGCGGCATATTTAATAAGAGATTAATCGTTTCAATAAATTACCTATAGAAAGTGTGCATTCTTATACGCAACTGTTGTGTATCGAATATAATGAGGGTTCACAATTAGCGAACTACCGCTCGAATCAAGTAGTTTGCACTGTGAATAGGAACTAGTAGAATATTTCATCAAGATAGAGAGTGATGGATGGAGCGTTTAGTAGCAAACTACAAAACAATGCCTATGCAAACTCTCATCGATAACACTTTGCTGCCCACTCCGGCGTTACATTGAGAAAATCATGATGAGGATCAATGACGCTCCCAAATAATGTAGAATTGGAGGTTTCGTTATTCCCTGAGAACGGAGTGCCGCACGCGACAGGAAAAAACTTTAATTATTCTTGTAAGAATCCAAATTTAAAACATAAATTGACGTCAAATATGACAAACTTTATTTTACTTTCATGACGAATTTGTTGAGAGCTGAGAAAGTAAGTGCCTATCAACCTACTTCGTCTGAACGCTGCGTGCCGAGTGAACGTGATTCAGTATCATGAATTCGCTGTAGTTACTCTGTCAAACTCTGCCTCAAAAGAACATATAATTTCTGTAGCGGCATGTGGATAATATTGCGCGATATGTAATTTTAATAAATGCAGATAACTCCTCAATTCGCTATTGCAGTACTGTATGGTAATATTTACATATATAGGTCACATCTTTTTCTTACATTTAATCCCAAGTGAAATAATATCCCACATGCATTACAAAATTATTTTATTAGCTACGTATGAAAGTACACACAACTCTCTGCAATATCCATTAATTCTCAGCGCTGTTGAATAAAATTAGTCACTTAATAAAATTGCCAAATAAAGTATGTCCATAAAATATATCATTCGTACGAGCTATACTGAGATTGTTTCCCCTTTAATTCAATGAAAATTATGTTACACACACACATAATCAACTGCAACCATCAAGAATTTATTACAATGCTACACTCTATGATTTTCATAGACGAATACGAAGACGTTTAGACACTTGGGCATGTTTCTCCTGATTCGCACGTTTCGTCAAATGTTTCTTTAAGAATTATCGGAAAACTTTTGACATCATTTCGCAGCGGGGCTGTAAGCTTACCGTTCTAGAATCGGAAAGGAAAATTTCCAAGAGCGAGGTCGAAAGCTATGAGAGGTACGCACGGAGAACGCGGTAGAAGAAAACGAGTCGCGTACGTGTGCACTCAAGCTTGTTACCTCAAACCGCGACCACGAGACGAATTTCCCGGTGAATTCAAATACCATCGACGTCGCACGTGCGTACGACGATCGAGGTACGCTTAAGCGAGTATACCCCGACGAAGTACACCGACAATACCGCGATGCAAACTGACAGCACGTTTGTAAGGAAGAATCCGCCAGGAGTGAAGAAGAGAACAACGAAAATGCGGGGAAAGGGAGCTCGGAGCAAGGGAGGAAGCAACAGCAGCAGCAGCAAAGATAGATGTGGACGGGAAGAACTTGAAGAGCACTTCGTTGAGTTGCCTAGACAGCAATATGTCAAGAGTTCAACCCCTTTCTGCGGCCTCCCTTCGCCGGCGTCCTTCGTCCGCCAAAAATATTTCGTACGTATGTGTGACATATGTGAATTATCTGTCAATCTTAAAAAAAAGGAGAAGAAGGTCTCCCCCTCCCCTCGAACTGTCCCGCCTGCGCAATAATTCGAGAGAGTCCGGTGCCACGTAAACGATCAGTAATTCAGCGGATTGACCCGCATCGGTAATTTGCATTAATTAATTAGAGACAAATTAATTCAGATTACTTTATCACGACACTAAGTACGTAGTCCCACCGGCAGGGATACCGCCGCCAGCCGAGCCGAAATGGCAACGGCGATGACACACCGGCGTCGTCATCGACGCGTCCACGTCCCGATACTTCGAGCACGAGGAACGATCGATACACACAAGCTCGTACGAGTCAATCCGATAAGTCACTACGACGTCAACGTTACACGGCACGTAATATTCGCCAGAGAATCAACGTAATTCCGTCTTGACTTCAGAAAATGTGATCGATGCCAGCTTTGAATAATATATATATATATATATATGTATCCTGTCACACATGCCAAATTATCTCTTACCGGTAATATTGGTCGGAGAGAGAGAGAGGGAGAGAGAGGGGGAGGGAGGGAGGGAGGGAGGGAGGGAGGGAGAGAGAGAGAAAGAGAGAGAGAGAGAAAGAGACATTATTTAATAAATTACATAATTTGATCGTAAATCTCATTTAATTTATATATTTACGTATGTCCTAAAAAAGAAAAAAAATTTGATAATAAAAATACGCGTATTTATATTATTAAAATATAATTAAAAATGAGACAATATATATATACATATATGTATCCTATATATTCAATATACTCGTAATATCGTAACACCGTTCTTTCAGACCTTCCTCTTTGATCACTCGGAATGAACCCGAAACTAAATCAACTAAATCCGCAGTCTTGTCTAAAGGAGTTTCCGCTTTCTTGAATAAAGCATTGTTTTTCGAAGAAAATAGTTCTGTGAGACCGTCGCGCGTCGCGAGACAAAAGAACCGACTTCTTTATTGTCAGCAATCACCTGATGGATGAGAAAAACGTACGGAATGATAACGAAAAGAACACTATGACGCCAAGGGTTTCAGTCGCGCAACAATCGTCTACGTGTAGAACAACATCCGTACTTAGATCGCCCTTCAGATCCAAGTAGAGCTCGCTCCGTATGAGCTCTCTACCGTGGCACCGTATCGGGGGGGCACTTCGGAAGACCAAGCTGGAATCATGCTCGAGCATATAATACAGACGAAGTACGTGGGGAACGTGCACAAGTCCGGCTTTCGTAAATGACGGCCAAGCCTTTGAGGCAAGCTGACGCAATTACGAAGTGCTCTCGTTTTAGGAATCAGTTTGCACACACGAGTTCGGCGGAGTTTCAAATGATACCACCACCGGTTTCAGCGGATTATTGTGTACCACCGAAGGATGTTATTGTGCACGCCGCTATCAATCGTCAGTAAATCACATTGACGTAATTAACATAATGCGAAATTAACAACGTAAAGTAATACCAATAAACACGTATACACGTGCATCTACTTATGACTGATGATGATTTTTACGATGTTTCTGCGCGTGTAAAGGTGCCCAGATGCACAAACATTTAATGAGCGATAAAGATTTGTCTTAATGAGAATTTAAACTGTGCAGCTTCATACGCGAAACTCGTAGAATTCCTCGTCAAGTCCTTCACGTCGCGGAAATTGCGAGGATTTCGAAAGTTTACGAAACGCAATTTTATATACTCCGCTCCTTTTAATGACTTTGACTTTTGCACTTTTGCATCCTTCTGATAGGAAGCATAGATCTATATTAGCGTCAAGGGCTTATACTTTGTCCGGCGAACTTTTCAGGTGTCCTACATATAGAATGAGCGGTCGAGGGAGTCGTATTCCCAAGTCGCTGCTCCACGGAGAGCGTCAGTTGAGAAACGACAGATGCTGCCCGTAAGTCAAAGTACTGGGTTCTTAGCGAACTTTCGATCGTTAATACCCCATTGGGAATGTGTGTGTAGAGGATGTCGAGGCGCCACGAAAGTCGCATATATTTATTATCGTCTCACACACGTAACTCCTGTAATTCGTTTATGATTGCCGACGTGC